ATTGTCGCTGCTGTCATCAAGATCCCCATCATTGCTGTCTATGTTGCGGGGGTCTTCTTGTGCATCAATAGGTTTTTCTGATGGTGAAGTTGCGTTAGCTTCTCTGAGGTTTATCATATTTTGTCTTGAATGTCATCATGATATTAATCTCACGAGAACTGGGCTCATATTCTGAGGAATTCATGGATGATATTCACTTTCCAGATCAGTACTGGATTCTTTAAGAGACCCATCTATGGCACAGGCCTCCTGAAAGAACAGACACAGTTAGAATAGTACCTATTCAAATGATTAACCTATAGTCACTTGCTCAAAATTTCAAGTTAACTTCCAGAACACATTTGTATTACAGCCAAGAAAAGAAGTTGCTAAAACACCAGAGCATCTTCTAATATTCATTTGCCAAAATTCACTGTGAATAATTTTTTTGTGAAATTATATGAATTATGAAATATGCACGATCAATTATTTTCACATAAAATAAGTATGTGGCTATAGATTTAAATATGGTGAGAGTATGCAACATCTTTCCTTATAGGGTACAGCTGCTGTATAAATAATGCTACATAATTGCTGCTGATTACAAAACCATGATCTTTCTAACATGGAGGGGGTGGAAACAACCAACAAGGATGAAACACAGGATGCCCTTAGTAAAGCCAAGAATAATGTTACAGCAATAAATTGAGGGGGAAAACTGTCTCTTGAAACTGGAACAGTTGGTATTTAAATCTCAGAATGAACCACCAACTAACTAGTTTTATAAATCTTAATTATAGCTTACCTGCATCATTTGCATAGTTTTTTTTATGCTTTAGTTGATTTTTCACCATTGTCTCGTCCTCATATCTCTCAGCACACCGACGTGGTGCTCCTGCAGTCTCCGTAGTCTCCATCGTGTGCCTTGCCTTGCTTCTGATGGTGCTTTTATCGTCACATCGAAATTACAGTACTCGTGGTTTTTATGGCAGAGGAAAATCTTTACTAAATGTTTCAACTCAAAATGAAGTTAAATTCTCTCATTTTAATCTAACAAGAATATAATTTTAAGAAAAGTTTATTTTATCAGTTAAAAAATATCATAGATAATAAGATGTTTATTAATAATCTCAGTCATCCATGTTGGAAAATGCTTTGAAAGTCTGGGGGTTAGCTAAAACTGTTGACTGGTCTTGTTTAGTACTGTAGTAAGTTAGTACAGCTTAAGGATCTTCAGAAGTTCCCCCATTTTAATATAAAACAGGTTCAGTCATGACCACTAAAGTTGCAGTTCCCATACCCATTGAATGCAACATTAGTTGGTGAGACTCAAGCTGCAGGTGCTCGATTGCTCCCATCCCCCACTTCTAAGCTGCCCTGTCTGTGACCTTTTAGAGACACAGGCAGTATTGCATGAATTCAGCTTAAGCAGCATCTAATCAGAGCACGACAATTTATTTTATAGCATTCTTTAAAACTGTGATCATTATTATTTTACATTACATATGTATTTGATGTTATATGATGATAAATCAAAATATAATACAAATGCATATAATAAAATAAATGTAGATAATATTTAAGAGATTCTTAAACTGTGGTTTTGATATTTTTATGACTTCGCTGCAGGACTACAACATAACAGTTGAGTAGGCCTGAATTTTAAGTTTATTTGACTAAAATTTGGTGGAGTTCAGCTTGGCAGCTTGTTAGGCTCCACCCCTCCCCCACCCTTAGTGGTGGCCTGTCTTCACCTGCCTGAGCCTTTGGCTTGCTGTATACTTTCAAATGGACACAAGCAGCATGGCATTAATTCAAATGAGCAAGATCAATAAAATTAGCTACATACAATTTGTAGTTAAATAATATTGAGATTTTCATACTGTTTAGATATTTTAATCAAAACACTGCTACCATGTTTTGTAAAAATAAAAATGGTTCAGAGCACAGTAGATACAGTAATCCTCAATATACACTGCTGCCATTTGCGAAACCTGTTGACCTTGTGAACTTTGTGGGCTTTGATCTACAAATGTGTCAATCAAAAAGGGCATCAAAAATTATTTTGTGGCTTAAATATTAACTTGATATTCAAATCAAAACCCATGTATAATGAAATACAATTCGTATCCCCTGAAATGAATTTTACCTTTGCAAAAGATATGAGGGAAATGTTTACTAAAGCTGGGTTAGATACCTTGATTTATCATCACAATTTGTAACAATGTGGCTACAGTGGCAAGAAATTACAGTAGATTTTAAATAACTATGTTGTCAGAATAAGCATTTAAATAAACAAATTACATAAAGTTAAAACTTTAAAGAAATACTATGCTTTTGTAACCCAAATGATGATGATGAAATAAAGAAAAATATTTGCTGCAACTGGTAGTGAAGATGTCTTGATTGTATGAGCTAAAATCAAGACCTCAAGGAAAAAAGACAAATGTCTAACTCCTGGATGCAGCCCCCAAATACAGGGGAATAATGCTGTAGTACTTGCAATGCTTGAAGTAGTACTGATATTAACATTAACATTTAACATAACAGTTTTTTAAATCGTGAAATAGTAGTTAATGTTGTCAATACATTTTAATAGCCATTCCTCTGATGCATATGATGCAATATGTAAATGTATCAAAAAGTGTTAATATTAAAAGTAATTTTGAAGTATGTGATGTTTTTTGTAGTAGTTGTAGTGCATGTAGTAGTAGTAGTAGTGGACAAATGCGTACTAAGCAGTAGTTTCATCAGTAGCACTGATAGACAATCAGCTGTTTTATTCCTTTATTTTTTTCTCTTTAAAATGCACTACCTGCCTTTGGTTGTAAACTTGCTCCTGTGCAGGCCACAAGGCATATTCTCACGACTGAAATGGCCAATCACAAAATTCCCCAGCCTTAGCCAATCAGAAAACTGGATTGTCTCCTCCCTGTAAGTCAAATTTTGACTGCACTACCAGAGTGTGTCCAATAGGGGGTACAAGAGCACAAGCTGGCATACATTTTTCTGACTTTACTCTCTGTATGTGGACATCTTCTGAAACTAAGACACATCATTCTTTAGGATGAAAGGAGCCTATCCTAGCATTTTCCTTGTGTGGACCACCCAAAATGTCCTCACAAGAAGAAATGTCCACACAAGAAAGGTGTTCCGTCAAGGGTTGGTCCACACAAGTATATAAAGACAAACACACACACACACAAACACTAGGGGTAGACACTGATTTTTTAAAATATTCTCATAGTCATTATGTTTAAAAAAAATTGAATATTTCAACAATGGTTTTGACTTTAAAACCGAAGAGCTACCGTTTTCCCGTGCTTTACCGGCATCTGGAAATAATGCGCTAACAAGGTTAATATATCATTTTACTGCAGGGCTAAATACCAACAGCGGAAACATGCAGACTACAGCCATCAAAAATTTCTGTGTTGAACATCTTTGAGAAAATAAATGAAAATGTGGTGCAGTGCAAACTCTGCTAGGTTTTAAGTTAGTATAACATAAATCAACAACAACTATGCACAGCCATTTGAAGCTGAGGCATACAGCCGAAAGTGGGGTTCAGTCTGCAGATCTTCGAATAGTTCCTAGCAAATATCCAGTAGCATTTTAGCTCATCCCTAACACATCCTTATCTGCCAAGGGTATGGTATGCAGGCCACATGCAGCATGTACTGCGCACACAAAGACACTGTTGAGGGCTGTTGTCCACCACAGGGCCAAGGGTATGGGAGACGGGTTAGACACAGACACACACATACAAGATGCTCTGTCTGCCAAGTAAAGAGCAGCAAACAGTCTGAGCCACATGGGTGCAGCTGAAACATTGAGTGAGACCGCCACCACTCACATGCACAGTGTCTATTTTGATGCACAATAATGATTAGAAGGCTCTATGTGCACCCCCCCTTTTCTTTTGACAAAACTGTCTTGTTTCATGCTCCCCTGGGTTGTACTGAAGTCAAACCATATTAAATGCTTATACTGAATATTATATAAACTTTTATGCTTAAATGCTGGCCTTGCTTCATGCTTCCTTAATGTTTGTACTTTGACTTGCGTATGTGTTTTCAGTTTTACAGCACCTTTTCGTGATATTTGTGCTTTCATTTTTCTATGCGCTTTGTCCCTACGGGCCATTGTAAATGCACTTGTACATATAACAGTTTTATATTCTTAAATACAAACTTAAATGCTTTTTTTAATGAAATGCTCTGTACAGTAGAAACTATTAACCTTTTTTGATTTCCCCTATTACCATCTTAAAGTTATTCATAAAAAACCATCTTAAGTGAAGTTAAGGTAGATTAAAATGAAAGAACAACTTCAGCAGTGCATTAGACATAATTTCAAATGACTATCTCATATTTGGACAAAGTGGCACTTGTCTTAGAGTAGTGGTTACATCCAGGGGTTCAGGACCCTCATAAGACAGATCAGAGTTTTTGTTAGGTAATTAGGATGATTATGCAGACTATCATCTAAACAGTGACTTTTGTTCTTCTCAGTTAGTAGATATTTTAACCTCTGAAAAGTATTCAAATAAAGCAAGAGGGAAAGCTTTTAATTCAGCTGGTAAATGAATGCAACCTGGAAAAAGGGGTCTCAAGTTGGTAAACCACTGCCCTAGAAAACCATGGACAAAAATATCATGTTTGTTTATTATGTCTAAAAGGGGATCAGGGCCACAGAAGGACAAAAAAAACTCACATACCACCTCTCTCACAACAGTGGGGGCATTGGTGCTTTGTACAACCCTGCTGAAGGTGCTGCAACTCAATAACTGGGTGATATCTAATACTTCAGATTCTGTATGCATTTCATAGATGAGAATTAGCAACCACTGAATTGCAGCCAAGTATTACACATTTCACACAGAAATATTGTTTGTTTTGTTTTTCCTGTGGTCCTTGTTAGGGAGGAGAACAGTTGCCTCCGACTGTGTCTGTAGTGAGGCAGAGGGAGTATATATCTAATGTTGTGGACTTTCTTTTTCCTCCCTGTGGTTGCTGCAGGTCAAGAAAACATACACTCATGGTACATACAGAGCCGGAGCAATGAGACAGATCAGCCTGGTGGGAGCTGTAGATGAAGAGGTCGGGGACTATTTCCCAGAGTTTCTCAGCATGCTGGAAGAGTCACCCTTCCTGAAGGTGAGGAAGGATAGGATGAATGGCAGAATGGTGTAAGGATAATGAATGGAAAAGTGACAGAGGGTTTCACAAGTGTGTTAGTTGCTCTTTTTGTGTGCTGCTATGTGAACACTTTCACTAAAATATAAAATAGACTTTAGTTAGTGCAGTCACAGATGACCAGATTATATTGTAGCTTATAAATAAGTTTTTTCGTCTATTTCCACAGCTATGGGGTGCAGTGATACCCACAATCTTGTTAACAAAGCTCAGTGTGGAAATGGTTCAGGTAGCAGCTTCTGCTGATTGTCTCTGATTCTGGTTAAAATTACAAACACTGGGATCATACCAGTTGTTGCTAACTAATGTTAATTTTGTGACTTAAACTGACAGGACAAAATCTGGTTTGTCACTGTGCAGCAGCCTGCAGATAGCATGCTGTCTGCTGTTAGCTGAAGATCATTTATGACATAGAGGTGTCACTCTGTAACGCCCCTGAATAATTAGTGAACTGAATGCTTCTCTTGCCAGGGGGGGCAATGTGTGCTCATGACATTATTTTAGAATCTTTAATGAATAAAATACTTGATAAAAAGTACTAACACAACTTTGTATTTCTTCATGTCCTCTTTTTCTCACTTCCCCTCTTCTCTGCTTGTCTGGCTCCAGCTGACTCTTCCCTGGGGAGGGTTCTCCAGTCTGAGTCAGATTAATCCCACAGAGAGTGACGATGGCCCCATAATGTGGGTCAGACCAGGAGAACAGATGATACCTGTAGCTGATATACCAAAGTCCCCTTTTAAAAGAAAGCGGTGAGTACACTACATTATTACAGTTCACACACTGTATTGAGCTCCCAATAATTTAATTCAGTAGTAGCAGCAACGTTTCAGTCTAGACAGGATCTTCATCAGGCATTATCAAACAGGCATCACACTGAAGGGCACATTTACTTGTGCTCTTGCTAAGACACCACTCAGGTGTTTCCAATCTGATGAATTTGGTCTTATGGTCTTATACTTGTATAGCGCCTTTCTATACTTTTACAGCACACTCAAAGCGCTTTCACATTATTCGGCCATTCACCCATTCGCACTCCCAAGCACTCACGCATTCACACATCGGTGACATCACCGGGAACAAGTGGGGGTTCAGTGTCTTGCTCAAGGACACCTCGACATGTTGACTGGACAAGCCGGGAATCGAACCGCTAATCCTCCGGTTAGGAAATGACCTGCTCTACCTCCTGAGCCACAGCCGCCCCCAATGAAGTCAATCTGCTTCTAAAAAGGACCAATCAGGTCAGAACTAAAATATACTGTCAAAAAAAACTTCCCACTACATGAACATGGGAGGAACAATCAAAAAGGCAAATACATTGTAGACAAATTGGTAAAAAAAAAAATCACAAAAACAGCACAATCATACAAGACAAGATATGAAAAAGAGAGAATTCCTATTTATAACGTAACAAAAACGTATTAGTCTATAATCCAACTTGGACAAAAATTTGCCAAAACATAGATGGTATGCCAAATATTTACCATGCTCCAAAAAAGTTTTTGAATCAAAATTTAAGTTTAAACCTTTAGGCGACAAAGTATTGAGAGTGAAAATGTAAACTGCCTCCTTCTTCAAAAGGATATTATTAACATCTCCTCTCCTTCTAGGTCTTTTCACATGTTCAACCCTAAAATATGTCAATATAGATAAACCATGTTTAAACAAGTTGAAATGAGCAGCTGCAGGATTCTTTTGATTAATAGTTCATATACTGCTATGTTCTGATATAGGGATTTTGAGACGATGTGTGGTTTTTTCAATATAGACCAAACCAGTACAGACTGATTGGAAAACTCTTTTTAAGAGAAGTAGGGTGAAAACGTCTGGCATGTAGTAATAATGTATTTTTATCTGTGGTTTCCTATAAAGATCTGCTATCAATTTGCCATGTTCTTTTGTGATTGAAATATCCAAAAATTTTACTTTTAGTCATAAGTACTGTAAATTTGAGATGGCTGTTCAGCTAGTTTGGAGCCATAGTGCTACCCATGGCTGTCCCTTTTAACTGCAAAAAGAAATAATCTTTATACATAAAAAAAAAAAAAAACTTGTCAATACCAATTTGGTTAATTGTTTTAGGGAAGAAATTCCAGGTCTAGTATCTGAATGTGAGGAACGTACATAAATATCAACTGCATCTATGCCACACTTATGTGGTACATTAGAATAGAGTGATTCAACGTCAAATGTCACGAGAACCATTTTATCAACAAGTCCTGATCATGTCATGGCTCTTGGTTCTTTTTCAGGGTTCAAGGATTTATTGTCAATTCACCATATGTGCAGGACATACAGAAAAGCGAAATACCGTTTCTCTCTCACCTAGTATTCGGTGCCATAACATTTAGGAACTAAAATAGAATAAAGTAGAATAAAAATAGAATAGAATAAGAACTGGATTAATGTAATTAGGATAAATCTAGATGGTACAGCCAATAAGCTGTAACTCAAAACCAAGTACAGTCAGTGACAGTGCCTTTAAGCTGTAATGTTACTTTCGGCAATGAAAATTATGACTAAATATCGTCGTCAATGAACCTTTATCACATGATGAAAATGAGACGAGACGCAACGAAAATGCCGGTCATGTGACGATCACTATAATTAAATGTATAATGCAATATTTTTGACGAAAAACCCGAGACAAAATGTGGTTTACAAAATAAAAGCTATGCTAAAATGTCCCTTCATTTTCGTTGACCAAAATGAGACGAAATGAAATGTTATGTTATTTCGTCACGTTTAGTCGCGTTATTATTATTTTGCAGTACTTCTGTTTCCTGTGTCTCACTTCAGGGCCGCATCAGGTCGCACTGCGCAGACGCAGGCGACGTCACTTCCTTAAGCCCCACTCACGGCATTATTTAGAAGACGAAAACAAACAAAGTTAAGTCTGACACAGAGAAAGGGATCCATGGCCGGACAGCCGGGGTTTGTCTTTGGTAGAAAAGAAGAAACGACATTTGGAAAAACTTTCATTACATAGAAGTGTAAAAGAAAACGGAGTGTGTTGTGGAAAAAGATGGGGAGAAATGTGGCCATAAAATCACACAAAATGTGTATTGGATGTATTCTTGAGTCTATAAGATAACAATAATATAATAAGATAACCTTGTTTGAAATGGGTTTGGCTAAAAGAAAATTTTGGTTTCATCTATACTACTAGGTACTTATACAATATTGACTGGGTTAATTAGAATTGCATTACTAAAAAAGAGACAAATACAGTTTTCATTGACTAAAACTAGACTAAATGTCATCAGTTTTCATCGGCTAAAACTAGATGAAAATAGTCATGGATAATTCTGACTGAAATAAGACTAAAATGCTCAGACTTTTAGTTGACTGAAACTTGACTAGACTAAAAAGAGTATGAACGTGACTAAAGCTAATGAAGACTAAAATGTCAGCTTCACACAAAGACTAAAACTAAAATTAAAACAGAACAACTGTATTAACCTGTCGTTGATTCAGTACCTGTATTTTATTTTATTTTTTTATTTTTTTCTTATTTTTCTCGGATGTGCATGCCCTTTGTTTTTGCGCTACATTATGAACTACACTAAGAAGCAGCCAGCCATTTTTTTGAATCCCTGTTAAACAGTACAGTGAGACACAGACAGGATTAGCACCTATTTTGGTCTTGATGAATGTTCTTTATACTGGCCATACTGTGGGATTCTGTGGTGTGTTTGTGTATGCGTGTGGACCTTATTGAGCCAGCTTACCTCTGTACTCTCTGCATCCCATGAGTACTATTTATGAAAAACAGTAACAAAACATACTCGCAGCAGCCATGGTACCAGCATGAAGCTTTGTTGTAGTGGGACAGTGTAGTGGTTACAACAAACAAGCCACAGTTAATATACAATATGTAATAGAATATAGTGAGAGTGTGTAGATTACATTTAGTTACTATATGCAGCAGTCAGTTAATAACTAATTTCTGCAAGCCCTATGTACTATGTCAGCTCTGTGTAAATAGTTTGTGTGTGTGGAAGCAGGAACATTTTTGGTTCATGGCTTGTTTGTTTAACCCACTGGGTCATCCTGATCTGGAGATGACCTGTTAACTAGGTTCAGGAATTGGCGGGGGAGCCAAAACTGAGCAATGTACAAAAGGAGGCAGTATGAAGCAATTTCACCCTCTCTGTTTGTCTCTGTCACAATGTCATTGTCGCTGAGACACAATCTCTGTCACACACATGCAAACACGCATGATTTCTAGTGTCAGACCATGAAAAACTGTGTATGTGTGTGTTTGTCTGTGATGTGAATGGTATGTGGCTCACCGCTCAGTTGAGCTCATTATGTTAATAGAGTTGACATCAGACGCTACTTCACAGAGCGTTTCTTCCTCTGAACATTTCTCTCTTTCTTGTCTCTGTTGGTTGGTACGCATGTTTGTAATAATGTTTTGTATTCTATCTTCTTTTTTATAATAAGTGATTTAGAAAGATTTATTTTTTGCTGCTCTGGAAAGAAGAGGAATGAAAGTCAGTCATGGTAAGACAGAATACATGTGTATGAACGAGAGGGAGGGAAGTGGAACAGTGAGGTTACAGGGGGCTGAGGTCAAGAAGGTGCAGGAGTTTAAGTATTTGGGGTCAACAGTCCAGTGTGATGGGGAGTGTAGGAAAGAGGTGAAGAGGCGAGTGCAGGCAGGTTGGAGTGGGTGGAGAAAGGTGTCAGGAGTGTTGTGTGACAGAAGAGTGGCAGCAAGAATCAAAGGAAAGGTGTACAAGACAGTAGTGAGACCAGCTATGCTGTATGGGTTAGAGACTGTAGCAGTGAGGAAAAGACAAGAGGCAGAGATGGAGGTAGCAGAGATGAGGATGTTGAGGTTCTCTTTAGGAGGGACCAGGATGGACAGGATTAGGAATGAGCACATCAGAGGGACAGCTCAGGTCAGCCCTTAAATTTTTCACTCTTTGTTATATTGCAGCCATATGCTAAAATCATTTAAGTTCATTTTTTTCCTCATTAATGTACACACAGCACCCCATATTGACAGAAAAACACAGAATTTTTGACATTTTTGCAGATTTATTAAAAAAGAAAAACTGAAATATTACATGGTCATAAGTATTCAGACCCTTTGCTCAGTATCAGGATTATTTTTGTCTCCTTTGTTTGTCCTTGTCCTCCAACTACCTCTAAACATCTGCCCTGTCTGTCTCTGTGTTTCTCTTACAGTCTGTTTTTTGTTACCTCCTCTTGACCTCTCCTTACTGCTTTAAGTTGATTTATTATAGAGTTACTGTGCTGTTTAAAGAAAACACACCTATTAAATATGTCACAGGGCTGCAAGTGATTTTGTTTGTCAGTGTATATAAAGAAAAAGACAAACTGTGTTGGAGAGAAACATGGTGATGTGGACAGTAAGTGAGAAAGATGTGATCTTCTCACCGAGACCTTGTCTGCAGTTTGAACATCTCTTCACAGTGTTGCTTCTTTTTTTCTTGGTGGTTTTATTGAAAAGGTCAAGCTGTTCTGCATGTCTGGCAGCACTGAGACGCTCTCTGAGAATTCAGCTTGATTATAGCAGTCAGATGAAAATAAACCATATATTATATTTCACCTTTTAGTGGAAGAGCACCATGCTTCCTAAGTTGGACAATAATTGCATAGTAACAGCACCCGTTGCAAAGAGGCCTGATGAACATGCTCTTCCACTTTCCATACAAATTGAGGTGCATTTCCACTGAAAAATTCATGGTACTTTAGTTCTCAGGAGCTAAAGTCTAAGAACTTTCTCTGGGGTAAAAGTCCTTTGAGCTTATTATTATTTGGATTTTCAAAACAGAGCAAACATAAAATCACAATGGTTGGCAGCAGAGGTTTAAGAATGTTTGTCTTGTGTAAAAAGCTGTGCAGTATTTGACCAATCAGCGACATTCAACACTGCAGGACCTGCCCTGATAGTTCTTGAAAATTTGACTTGGAACTGAATTTAGACCCTGGTTCCTGTGTATTTTCATCATTTTGTGACATTTGTTGGACTTTCATCCACCTGTTTTTATACATATTTTCAATTTGCACATAAAAAGCGGAGTGGAAATGATGAAATTTCAATGGGGGAAAAAAATCTCAGTATCTCAATGCTTTTACGTTGGCCTGATGTGGAAAAGTTGGTGTATTGATAAAAGCAGAATGGGACAAAGTGCAGTGGAAACAGACTTGGTGAATACATCATGACATTGTTTTTTCACAGTTTGAAGGTTGGCTGGTTTTCTCCTAATGGCATCATCTTGTTGAGTACTGCATAGAGCAGGGGTTCTCAAACTTAATATTTGAAGGTCTGAATCCAATTTCTATTCAAGGTCAAAGGTTCGGAATCATTAGTGATAAGCAAACGACTTTTATTAAACCTGCTTATAACTTAGAAGCAACTTAAACTCACCAGCCACCAGAGAGAGTACAGGTGTACCTAATAAAGTGGCCTGTGTATGTGCATTTGAGTATAACGCAGTCTGAGACAAAATATATTTAAGCCTGGTGGGAAGAAAATGCCACTGTTTGACTGTCTGAGGCTTCAGTAGTAGCTCTCTTTTGCTGTGTCATAGATCTCACAAACAACTTATTTGTTGATTCAAAGGAACATTTTAACTGTCGAAGCTTTGCTGTCCTCACCTCTGTATTACCAGTCTTGGGCAAATCAAATGCAAGGGCCTTGTGCTGGATTGAGGCAAAATGAATGCATATTTCTCTGTTCACTTGTCTTTGAAAACTCTGTTGTCTTGGTCAACTTTTCTTTGACATTTGGATAGTGACATCCTCACTGCATTGGCGATGTAATGTACACTGACAGAAGACGCTTTCTCATGCCAGAAGGACAGAATGTGAACGTCTCTTAGCTAACTCGGTTGAATGTTAGCCGACCCTTGACCTCTGTCACTTGTTGATATTAAACGTCATATGTCAACATTGCCGTGACAGTGGTGTTGAACGGAAACAATTGTATTTAGCCTTATTCTCGGTCCAGGAACACTGTACAGATCACCAAATAGACTATATTCTACAAAACTAACAATTTATTGATAAGTACAGAATGTTTTTTTTTTCCAAAGTAGGAAACGCACACTTCATTACATTATATTATTCCATTCCTAATATGAGGTGTGGGCTGGGTCCCGAGTGACTTGCTGTCCAGTCCGAATCCAGACCGGAGTCTGGACTTTGAAAAGCCCTGGTATAGAGGATAGTTGACTTTCAGTAGATGGTAGACATTAAATACCCTCTAGATGTGCATGTTCAGCACTCCTCCCTTTATGCTCTCCTTTTCACTGTTTCACTTACCAGCTCCCCAGGTTTTACATTCATTACTGTCAGCCTGCAGTCAGCTCATACACACTGAGCTCTGTGTGCGTGCGTTTTCATTGCCCCCTCCACGCTCTACTATTTTTCTCTGTTTCTTTCCCTTTCTCTCCTCTTATCTCAGAATGAATGAATGCACAATTCAGTGTTCAGCATGGGGAGTCTCACTGCTGTTCTGTAGGTGTCTGTGTTACTCTCAAAAGAGTCTCTCGCAGACTGTGCGTGTTTATACTCTTGTTTAAATCTGACTGCAACTCCAGTATGAGTCCTTGATCCAGTAGTGAGCTGACTGCAGTATTTCTGTTGTTTGGCCACACAGCTTCTTTTTATGCCTTTACTCTTCAGTTTCTCAGTCTGCATGTGTAGATGCTTGTATGTATTTTTTGCTTTCAATTATTTAAAATGCAGCTTTATCTTTGTAGACAAAGCCCTCGTGATTTCATCCCCACTGATTTCAAGTGTTTCATTCTAATTTTCTTGAAAATAATCATTAGTGTTTTGAATATAAATTTATATTTTATTGTTCAGGCAGGGAAACACATTTTTTCCCACTAGCCATGCTGAAAGAATAAGCAAATTGTGGAGGAATTCAACGATGGATTCTGGTGAAAACTGGGGAAAAGCTGACTAGTATGGTTTTACTGTAGGTTTCCAGCTGAATATTTTCATTATAATGTCATCAGTTACTTTGTAATTTGTACTTTTTGGTCTACTAGCAGTCTAGTACACCTCCTCTGCTTGACATTTCTGCTAGATAAATGATTTATAATTTCTTGTCTGACAAACAGATATTTGGTTCAACTACTCATTCAGACTCATTCACCCTTAATCTGCAGTGAAAACACACTCACAGTTGCTTAAACTAAATCTCGAATACATTTCAGGGATGTTTCAAAATGTCTTCATAAATTCATGTTTTCCTGTCCTGCCTCGCAACCATTCCAACATAGACTCTGCTCCTCATGTCATCCTTTAGTGCCTTGATTACATTCATGGGCAAGTCAACTAAGATAATACCAAAGGTCGGTCTGGTGCTTTTATTTTTCTACAGCAGACAGGAAGGAAGGAAAACCGGGAGAGTGAGCATCCTACTCACCTTTTTCTTCTTTATGTAGACAACATGAAAGCAGAGATGGGAGAAACCTCTCCGTAGAACTGTATGTGTGTGTTTGTGCTGTATGTGTGTGTTTGCGCATTTTTTACTCATTTCTGTCTGCTTATAGCTCTACCAATGAGGTGAAGAACCTGCTGCAGTCTCTGCCCAGGACCAGCGAGCCCAGAGAGATGCTATTTGAGGATCGGACTCGGGCTCACGCCGATCACATCGGTCAGGGTTTTGAACGTCGGACCACAGCAGCTGTGGGGGTGCTGAAAGCTGTGTGTTCTCGAGAAGGGTAGGCAGTGAAGCAGCATATGGTCAGACTGTTGGGTACCTGTAGTGATGGCTGTTCAGAAGCAACATATACTCAGTACTAAGAGACCTCATTCTCTCTCCCATTCTTCCCTTGTTTTTCAGCTCGGAGCCTTCTCGTGTAATCAAAGATGTGGTGTGTTTCCATGCTGGCGATTTTCCTTATGTAGTTCAGAGGCTGCAGTTGGACCTACATGAACCTCCACTGTCTCAGGTGGGTGGACACACACACACACACGCGCACAGAAGGCAATAAACAATAAGCCCTGCTCACACATTAGATTCAACCCAGAAAAATCATCCCTGTTATGTCTGAAATTAGACTCAGAAATATCCCGCAGTGTTCACTCACAACAGTTAGCTTAATGTAACACCGGTTGAGGTGTAAAGTTAATGAAATCGGTTGTTGGATACTGCTACCCGGTGGAACAGAGTTGAACTGCATATGTTGACTGGAGCCAAGCTTAGTAGTGTAATAGGATAATCCACTCAGTATTGAGTTTGCTTTCTGTAGAACATATATTAAAACAGCCAGTTACAGTGGGGCACATAAGTATTTGATACACCACCGATTTTTCAAGTTTTCCCACTTACAGAGAATGGACAGGTCTGTAATTTTCATCGTAGGTACACCTCAGCTGTGAGAGACAGAATCTACAAAAAAATTCCAGAAAATCACATTGTTAGATTTTTAATTTATTTATTTTCATTTTATTGCATGAAATAAGTATTTGATCACCTACCAACCCTAACAGCTTCATTGTTGATTCTAGGTGATCACTGGTAGTAAGACAAAATGAAATGCACACATCCACACAGTTCACACTCCAAGAATCTGCCTTTTTGTTATTGCTCTTCAAGCTTTCTCTTCTTATATACAAAGATCTTATGATCTCTAAAAGTAGAGTACCACTCAATTGATAGTAGGTAAAAAAAAAATTCTTTTTTTTCACTAAACAATTCTAGTTTCTTGTGAAGCTTCTACTGATTCTCAGAAGATAAATTTACAGAGCTGAACAAATGTTGGGGTACTTTACATTCCTCTCCCTGTAATGATAGTTCAAAATCCACATTTTTAAAATAGATGTCAATGTAAAAATATGCTTTATTTTGAACTGAACCTCTTCATTTGCTCTATCTCAATGCCTTCCCTCCTCTGTCTTTACAGTGTGTGCAGTGGGTGGATGATGCCAAACTAAACCAGCTGCGTCGGGAGGGCATCCGTTATGCCCGCATCCGCCTGTGCCACGATGACATCTACTTCATCCCCCGCAATGTGGTCCACCAATTTAAGACTGTGTCTGCTGTCTGCAGCCTGGCATGGCACATCCGCTTAAAGCAGTACCACCAAGGAGAGGAAGTGAAGGACGAGGAGGAGGCAAAGCCGGTTGAGTTGAAGGAGAAGGAGACGGACACAGTGGAGGTGGAGGAAAAAGTGGAAGAAGAGGGGAGGAGGGAAAAGAAAGGTGAGAAAGGAGTAAAAGAGAGGATAATAAAAGAGGATGATGAGGTGGATGTGGCAGAAAACAGGACATTGCCAGCAAACAAAAAGGATGAACAGGATCGTCATCTTCATCCTCAACATCCACCTCTCTTGTCTCAGCCTGCTGTCTCATTCAGCTCGAATGAGAGCAGTGATACAGACAGGAAGGAGGAAAGAGACAAGGCAAAAGCACATGGAAGACCCAAACAGCAGGATTCTTCTCCTGCTAAGCTGAAGACAGAACCTCCAGCTCCTCCTCTTTGCAAAAATAAATTTCCTCCACCTCTCCATCAGTCCCCTCCTGCCTCTCTTCATTCTCCTCATCAGGAGGCAAAACCCAAAGCATCATCAAAGCCTTACCACCATCACCATCATTTGGACAGCATAATGACGTCTTCCAGTACAGTTTACTCTTCCTCCTCTTCTGCCTTGTCACCTCCAGCAGGATTCGCTGATACTCCTTTGCGTCTGTCTTCTACCACTTCTTCTGTTCCTGTTCTGTCTACACCTTCTATGTCAACTTCTGTTACATCTTCCCTGACTAGCCTTAAGCCTGCAGTGGACTCTCTTATCTCCCCACTTTCTCCTTCCACTGTCTCTTTGCCTTCCCAGCTGCCTCCCTCCTCTCAGTCAGATCAGCTGAAGGACAAGGATTCACTTTGGCTAAAGCCAGATATTCAGTCAGACACAAGGACACAGTCAGAGATTCGAACACCACAGGAGTCACCTGCTGTGAATGTACAGGCACACACCTTCCAAGCTGACATACAGACACACATGCTAGCTGACACACGGACACAAGCACTCCCAGAGAAATGGATGCACACTTTGGACTCGGACTCCAGGGTGTCCGTGGATCCCCAGATGTGCACGCCACAGGACACCGGGAGGCAAGAAATTTGCATGCAGACATATACACCCCAGCATCTCCCATCTCCTCACCTGCCTCAGATGCTTCCCCCGTCCTTCTCCCCTCTCATGCCACACTCCCACCTTTCTCACAGACCTCCAGTCCTCCCTCCAAATCCACTATCCAGTTCTTCCCTCTCTGCACAGCCACAAACTCTGAACTCTTTTCTGAGTCAGAACTCAGCACCCCACCCCGTTCCCGTGAGCCAGCTTCATCTTCATTCCCCACACCAACCAAATATCACCACCCAGTCTCAGCCATATTACCAGCCTCCACTAATCGGTTCACCGTCTCAACTGAACACTCCTCTCACCAGCTCCCAGTCTCTTCCTCCTCACCTTCAACACCATCACCAGTTTGCCAAAACCTTCTTTCCCCCCCAGCACCCCCACTTCCCCTCTCACCCCTTCCTCTCCCCTCAGCCTTTCCTCTCTCAGCTGCCCAGCTCTTACCCGCTACAACCACAATACCAAACCTCAGCAATAGCGCAGGTTCAGCTCCCTTTGTCACAGTCTTTCCCTCATCCCCCTCCTCCCTCTTCCTCCTCGCAGTCTCCGCCTCCCGCACCTCCTTCTACTCTTCCACCTCCTCTCCCCCCTCAGCCTTCTTTCCTCTCTCCTCCTCCACAGCATGAGGAAGAGCAGAAGCAGATTTTATAGTAGTTTTTGTACATAATGATGCTGTTTTTAAATGACTGTGTATGTATAAGGCTTTTATGTTGGTTGTGTTGTTGTGAAAACTATGTAAAAGCAGAACATGGGGAAGGCAGGGGAGTGTACCGTTATGAACACAATATCATAGTTTATAAAGAGTTGTACTTTATTTACACCAGACCTCTTGACTGGACAGGTAAAGGACTGTACAGATGCTTTGGATGTGCTTGGGTTAAGAATATTGAGCAGTTATTGCATGTGCTGGTAGTTTTGCATCAAAATTTGACCTTTTGAAGAAGAGAGTTTTCGGGTTCACATCTACCAAACTGCTGTCCGATTCCGTTTTTGAAGAGAGCACAACCCGTTTGAATATCAAAATATCGATAAGGGGGGGGGGGTACATTTCTGCCGATTTTGTGTCAGATATTTATATAAAAAGGTCACAAGGATGACCTCTTTGTGAAACTTGCAGCTAATGCTTCCATTTTGTGGGTTTTTCCTAGTATATTCTTTGTGCCCAAGACTGTTTCTAGAATAAGTATGGGTCAAACTGTGATATTATACAATACACTAATGTATTGATATGATATCGCTACATTTCCTCTCCTGTATTGTATCGTTATTGTAGTCTTAATACAGTATATTGCAGTAATTTTACCTAATATTGTATTATGAGCAATAATGCTCTGCAATAATCTGCTGAGTGTAAAACACTTCCCAGTTATTGATATGGTGGCAATTATCAGTTTTTATATCAACTTGGAATCGACTGATAAAAAGTCTGTAATGTCCTGTTGAATCATTTTCACTGAAGAGTCGCCATTTATGAGGAAGGCTTAGGTGTAATGAACAGCCGTCTTATCAGTTTGAGTGTTTTATTGCCCAAGTGCACTCTCATTTTGAATTATAAATCTGCATAGTAAGCTACAGTATATATGAAGTGGCACTGTAGTTAATTGCACCATAGAGTCACAATTTGAGGTCTTGTGATTATCTTGTACCTGCAGTCCATGACACCTGTGGCAAAGCTCGCTGTATCTTTCAGTGTCTGTTGGATGTAACCCAGGGTATTCTAATTTTGGAAACCAAGTACATACTGGTCAGCCAGGGAAGAATTCAATCCACTTGAGGCTATTGCACAGACCGACCTTCAGAGACTCGGGAAATACAGTATATTAGTTTCCTCAATCTAACTTACTTACTAATATCAAATCCACTGATTTATATGGGACATTACAGATTTGTAGGTAATTGTTCAGGTTCATTTGAAATATATTATAATAATGATATTAGTACCCATGCAGTTACATTAGGAGTTGACCAGCTTGAGATCTCACAGCATCTGGATAGGAATAACGGAATGACCAGAGCAATATCATGCAGATGCCATGTGTTACGACTTCCCAAATGTGACTCATTACAGCACTTTGTAACACGGATATGTCAACCGCTGTTTCAGTGAAATTATTGTCAATGCTGAACACTTGGGGTTATGAATCCCAGATTGTCTAATAAGTAACAGGGGAATTTCAGGTTCTTCCAAGATTATAACTCTAAACCATGCAGGTTTAGGCAATTCTGTGATACAATGTTTTTATTCTTTATGGACACTTTGAAAACTGGTGGAGTGGATGGTACACTGTTGAGAGTTCATCCCCAAAGCACTACTTAACTATTTACCTGAAGTGTGGCTTCTCAATGTGGAGCATACTGTCTATGAAAATGTTTTATTTATCAAACAGGAGCTGAAGTAACCTCCTCTGTTTAAAAGTACAATAAATTATTGATATTTTGTTTTCACAGCTATGAAGAGTTTCTCCAGATATCTGATTTTAGAGTCAAGCTTTTCTGTCTTATCGCTTCTCCTACAGTTGTGGAACTTGGTTGTTGAGAGAGACTTTTGGACATTGAGGTGCCAATTTTACTTAATCATTACTGGGGTACAGCCCACTTGCTAATGTAGCCCTCAACATTTCCCCAGTGCCTATTCTTAACTGTGAACTACTAAATGGTCCTGAGCCATGCAGACAAGGAGTTCTGTCTATGCATCAGAGATTAGGAGTCCACGTTTTAAGACTTCACTGGAAAATAAGAATGAAGAGTTAAGTTGTTCTGTAAGACAGCTGAACACTGTCTGCGGTTTGTTGGGATGGCTAAGTGGATTTCTATCCCAAAAGCAGGGTTGTGCTTTTCATAATTTCTGACTGAAAGCTGGAAAAAAATCATGGAAATTTTAGAGATAAAGCTTCCACTCTTTTGGTAAGTTTCCTATAAGGACATCATTTCAGAGACAGAACTCTTCACTGTGTGGCTCTGGGGGAGAGCAAGGTGGTTATTAAGCACTTGATGCCAGTTGCAATGCGCTCTGAACTTTCTCTGCTTTTGGATTTCAGATTTTACAGAAACAACATTTTTTGTACAAATGTGACAAAAAATTATGGTAGAAAATGTTTTCAGGGGCTGGTGTTTTCACATAGTTTATCAAGTTTTTTTCTGTGATTTTTAACTGTCAGCACTGTAGTGTACACAGGAAAGAACCTGTAGTGTGGTTTCTACTTTAAAAATGAACCTAGCTAATAAAAGGTTCAGTGTATGAAAATGTTGGGTTAAGAATTGGTCCTTATTGGTCTGATCTGTGCATGTTTAAAAGTGCACTATTTTAAGAACAATCCCCATGTGGATTGTTGAAATTTAAAAATTTACAATGCACAACTGGTCTTATCAAATATTTAATGTATTTGGGAAACTGGCAGCTGCCCAATTGGGTTAAAACTAAAGAAATGTTCTAACTTCAAAGGTATTCTGTGGAGGTTTTCACCACTACACTCCCTGATAAAAGTCTTGTCCTTTAAGGACATAGTAACCTAAAATGTCATATAACTTTATTTGTAATCATTCAGTTGTCAAAATAAATAGTTAATTTTAATGCCAAGGGCATTCACATTAAAACTGGGTGCAAAATGAAGCCATTAAAAAGTGTCACAGCTTTGTAAAGCCAACATCGGTTTCTGCAAGGACAAAAGTCTTGCCGTATCTTTAAAGGATTCAACCAGTCACAGATTAGAACGTCACCTGTGACAAATACTGTAATTAACACATTCCCAGGTGTGTATAAGAAGAACCCCAGCACACCCAACCTTTATTTGAAATGCAACCTGACCTGTGACAGCATGCCAAAGATTCAACCACAGAACAAAGTGCTGATCATCAAGACCAAGTTTCCTGCCGAGGTGGCAGATATCTTTAATGTGTCTAAACGTCAAGTGGAGAGGATAAGTAAAAGATCTGAAGAAACTGGTGAATCATCTATTGAACTGCATCCCAATCATTGCAAATACCGCAGAAGACCTATTGGAACATGCATGGACCCAAGATTCACACAGAAAACAGTCAAGTTCGGTGAAGGTAAAATCATGGTTTGGGGTTACATTCAGTATGGGGGTGTGCGAGAGATCTGCAGAGTGGATGGCAACATCAACAGCCTGAAGTATCAAGACATTCTTGCTGCCCATTACATTCCAAACCACAAGAGAGGGCTGAATTTCTCCAGCAGGATGGCGCTCCGTCTCATACTTCAGCTTCCACATCAAAGTTCCTGAAAGCAAAGAAAGTCAAGGTGCTCCAGGTTTGGCCAGCCCAGTCCCCAGACATAAACATTATTGAGCATGTCTGGGTAAGATGGAGGAGGAGGCATTGAAGATGAAACCAAAGAATCTTGATGAACTCTGGGAGTCCTGCAAGAATGCTTTCTTTGCCGTTCCAGATGACTTCATTAATAAGTTATGAGTCATTGCTGAGACATATGGATGCAGTCCTCCAAGCTCATGGGAGTCATACACAATATTAATTCTTTTTCCACAGCACCATGACTTTATGTTCTGTACTGTACATTATTTTGTTATGCGACAAGACTTTTGTCTAACCTTTCTATCCTAATTAAAAATCAAGGAATATTAAGATTTTATTTTGGTAAATTAAGCATAATCTAGAGTCCTTTACCTTTCATATAAGCCACTTCTGATTCCAAATGATCAACTAGAAGTCAAGTTATTTGTTCCTACAACTTGGATAGGCAACAACAGTTTTGTCAGGGAGTGTAGTATTGCTGTGGAGCTGTTTTTTATAAATGGTTCCCTGATTTCTTTGTGAGCCTGCTCGTGGTATAATTCCCATCCTACCACCCATTTCAGAATATTCTGCTGAACAAGTTGGTAGCGGTAGCATGCAAAGACGTATACCAACCAAATCAATAAGACAGCTAGCAAGCAAACATGGTACATTTCCTTCACAATAGTATTTTGTTGAGCAACACGCCTCTTTATCAGAAATCAGTCAGTGGTTGGACACTTCAGATAAAGGATCTGCCCAAAGGATGTCTTGTGTCTGAAAACACATTTCCTTGATTCCTCTTTCTTTGCATCTTTCCTTACATCTTATGTGGGCAGGACTAAGACAGAAATGAGGGAAACGTGGATGCTTATAGGACACCTGGCATGTGCCCATGGATATAAACTATACTGGAATTCAAATACAAGAAATGCTCTCAACCTATTTGTAAGACATCACGGGTACACACAGTGAGTTTGTAAGCATTGTGTGTAAACACTTTTGTTTACAAGAAAACTCCACAAAGCACCTTTAAACTTGTAGTAACTTTTATTTTTGGCCACTTGGGGGCAACTGAGATGAGCTGTGAACAAAAAAAAAAAGTTAATTTATGGGCCTGAAGACCAAAACAGTGAGTTGGAAAAAAGGCTTTAAGAACTCCATATAGCTGAATTATAGACTGGTAATGATAGTCTCATCACCACAAGCAACCCTTTCACATCCAAGTAGTCATGTGATCCATTAATAAAATATTGTACAGTATATAGCAGCTTTAAGATATAAGATTAAGTTTTGTTTTGCTGAGGGTCCATAATGACATCGCCATGGCTCTTGACGCCAAGCGCCCTGTGTTTTAGCTTTACTAGACTTATCGGCAGCATTTGATACTGTTGACCATGCAGTTTTATTATCTACACTGGAACACCTTGTTGGGCCGAGGGGAACGGTTTTAAACTGGTTTAGTTCTTTCTTGAGAAATAGAACCTTTTCTGTCATTATTGATGATTTTTACTCTGATACAGCTCATCTTACCTCTGGCATCCCACAAGAGTCAACTTTGGCACCTTTACTTTTCTCTTTATGTATGTCACCGTTGGCGTCAATTATATTCAGACATAATGTTTATTTTCATTTTTACACAGATAACATTCAGATTTATATGCCACTGGTATTATCTGACCCAAATGCATTTACTCCACTGTATGACTGTATTCGGGATATCAAGATTTGGTTGCCCAGAATTTTCTTAATTTAAATGAGAATAAGACCGAATATATCTTTATCAGCCCTGATTCAGCCGCAGGTGTATCCAGTTTATGTGCCCCTGCCCCTGCACTCAGACATGGCAAAAAACCTGGGAGTGATATTTGATACCGGTTTTAATTTTGATAAGCAGATCAGAGCCATTGTCAAGACCAGTTTCTTTCAGACTTTTAACGAAGGTTAAGCCTTTATTATCCAGAGGAAACTTGGAAAAGGCGATCCATGCTTTTGTTACTTCACGATTAGACTATTGTAACGCCCTTTACGTTGGTATATCTCAGTCGTTGCTGAGAAAACTTCAACTGGTCCAAAATGCGGCAGCTCAGCTTCTGTCCAACACTCCCAGGTATGCCCATATTATTCCTGTTCTTCTCACATTACACTGGCTGCCTGTACATTTTAGAGTTGAGATTAGGATTTTTATTTGTGTTCAAAGCCTTACATGGCCCTGCTCCTGTTTACCTGTCTGAACTTTTATCTAGCTATGTTCCTCGTAGAGCCCTGCGCTCTTCTAATAACCTGACCCTAGTAGTTCGACGGTCCCCATCCCAAAAATGGGGTGACCGCGCATTTGCTGTTTATGGCCCCAGACTCTGGAACTCACTACCAATTGAGATTCGGTCTATCACCGAGCTAGCGGTTTTTAAACCCACATTAAAAACGCACCTTTTTAAGCAGGCTTTTGATCTTTAATCTGTTTTATCTGCCTCTAAATGGCATTCTCTACATGTTGTTTTATGTTCTATGATTATCTTGTTGACTGTTTAGTATTGTTTTGTTTGTTTTAGTATTGTTTTAGTCAATAGATATGTCTATACTGTGCAGCACTTTGGGCCCTTCTGAGTTGTAAAGTGCTATATAAATGCTATTTATTATTATTATTTTAATTAAGTTATTTCTAATTTGGAGAAACTACACATGTGGTGTATGCCTGCTTGCATTTTCTTTCTGTATTGCTGTTATACAAGCCACCCTCCCACTGCAGTCTGCAGCAGTTAAACCAGGCAAGATCGGAGCAGACAACACATCCACACCACACTGCAGTAGCTCCGAAACTTAGGGCTGGTATGTGTCACATCAAATAAATCTCAAAACAGCTTGTCTCCCCCTTTTTTTTTTTACACTATCTTTCACACACACCCATACACAGCAGAAGTGCCAGAGGAGCTCAGCTGACCTCTGTAGGGTGTGAGAAAGACAGGACCTCAATGTGGAGACAAAGAAAGGGTTTTGGAGGGAGTACTTAGAAAAACTTTGCTGTTTTTAATGTGTACATACATACTACACAATCTTTGAGCACACTACTCACTCCATAAGGTTTTATTAGCAAATGCATTAGTGCCAACAGTCTAGAAACGGTACTCATCAGTTCATTTGGGACTGCATACTACACATTTCCAAGCTCCACAATTACACACTACTATACTTCCAACTCCAAAAATGGACCCAGTGACTGGTGTATTATGCATTACATTATTTGACTGTTCCTTGTAACTTACAGTATGAATGCATAAAAAGCATTTTAACTATTGCAGCCAGTAAAGGTGGATTAGTTTTACTACTTTATAACAAAGGATAGGAATGCACTGTGTTTTCATCTTTCATCTTTTTTCTTTTTAGTTATGAAAAAAATCTTACTCAGTAACTCCAACTACTAATCAGAATCAGCTTTATTGGCCAGGTGCGCCGGACACACAAGGAATTTGACTCTGGTACCACCTCAAGTGAATACCATTCAGTTCCTCGGTGTGTGGCCTTCTTTACAAGAGCAGCTGTGTTAGCTTATGCACAGTGAAAATACACACTAGAAACCAATTCTGAACATGAAGGAAACATTAGACAACATTCCAGTTTCTTCTGGTGTATGCTCACAGTAGTTTTATACAGATAGTCGATGCCCTTATAATATTTTCTTTGTAAAGAAAATAGAACAATTTTTGAAATATTTTGAGAAATGTAAATGAATGAACTGACAGATTTAGTAGCAGCTCTTCTTTGACACATACAGCAAAGTCCCAGCTCTGCTGAACACAGTGCAGAACACATATGATTTCTTTTATTACATAAATGTCTGAAATGATGATTCTGCGTTGGAAACATCATCTGGCCAATGCACAGTTTTCAAGTCATTCTCATATACTGAACTAGTTTTTTACTGATTCATAATGAGGTTTGAAACAGAAGTTTGATTCCTCTCAGGCCTCTCTCCTCTCAGGAAAAATATTCAGCCCCAGCTCCACCAGTGCTCCCAGTAACATGGTCCACAGCGGTATGCACACAAATGTCAGCTTTACATCAGCCAGCTTCTCCAGCTTAGCGCACAGTGTCAGGCAGAAGCCCAGCTTGAGCACTATGGCCATCAGGTACCAGGCATGCAAACGCAGGTCATGGGAGCCATTACGGGGGTCATACCCAGCCTTGCAGCGGCCTGCCATCTTGATGGCAAGCATGAGGATGAGGATGCTGTCAAAGACCCAGAATGGGAGGAAGACAAGGAACCAGTTCCACTGCACCTGGAGAGAGGCAATGGAGATGATGGTGACAATCTGAATCAAACTTGTGACCTGCACTGTAGACTTATGATATGATACAAAATCTTGAACAAAATAGATTTAAAAGAAACGTCACCTTCCCATCCAGTTTGAGTACTAGTATGATGAGGAAGACCAAGGTGAAAACCCAAGTCAACAAAACCCTCTGAGCCAGAGACATCTCACTCACTGCAGATACAGACCAGTGGAGGAAATAGACAAACAGGCTGGACATTCATAGGACAGACGAAGAATATTCAATATCTGCTATATGAATGAACAAAAACCGACATAAAAGAACAGAGCAACGTTGGAATAGTTGCTAATAGCTATTTAAGGCGTGGTATTGTTAACAATGACAGCAAAATGACACTAATACCAGCTGGAAACAAATTTAAACGTATTTTCATTTATTCTTAATCGATACAATGACAGCTAAAGCCAACTTCAGCTTTTATTTCCAAGTAACGTTAACATAGCATTTACGTAACTAACCTGTTGGTTTAATCTTAAAAACGTCTGACTTCAGTGTATTTTTCGATCGGTGGCCAGCATTTCGTCGCCCTGTATGCCACACACTAATATTCACATAACGTTTGTGATGATAACGCCAAGTCACATAATTATAGCCAAACCACAACAGGAACAGGCGGATATTTCTGGTCCGTTATCTGTGCTAGGCTAGTCCTACCCACCCTGGAAGCCAATTGGTCCTCGTCACGTCACGCAGTCTGTGATGCTTGAACCTTTCGGGGGCTGTAATCGTAACGTTTTTGCAAAGCGCAAATTCCTTGTGGGTTTTTGTAATGCAATTTGACGTCCTCTAGAGGTGAGTAAAGGACTTTTTCTTTTATTGCTGTGATTATATGAGCTTTACTTTGCTACTTCATGAAACGTAGACATTATGCTCTATTATATTTGTTATTTATCTCGGTTATTTCGTTATTTTCGGTTACGTTGTTCTTTGGGCTCACCCTCATCCGCTCAGCTCTATTAACCGATCGAATGAAATGGCGCGTTTATACGGTTATTTACGGTAAGGAGTTGAAGTTGTATTTTTACAGTGGGAGACAGAAGGGAAACGCTCAAATCGGCCAGCAGCTACACAGCATCTCTTACAGATAATGAGCAAGATTTGGCAGCTCAGCGCACCAAAATAACATTTAGAAAGCACAGTTTGGATTTCTGTGGAGACTCGGAGCAGCCATCGCAGGCAGAAAGGTAAAGCTGAGCAGCTGCATCGTATATTTGGACAGCAGCAATTACATTTCAGTATTAGGAGCAGCTCTGTGGGCTCTTTGTGCCCGCCGGTAGCTTAGCTAACTGCGTTAGCTAAAGGCTAGCAGCAGCAGAAGAAGGAGGAGGTGGACTGTCTGTATGTGAACTCAAGCATGTCGACCTTATGAAAACACTGTGGCTGCATCTGCATGTAGGCTAGCTTAAAATGTAGCCGCTTCTAAAGTGGTTTTTCAAGCTCTGCACAGGGCTGGTCTTGTTTGGAGTAGTGAAAACAGTAAGGTTTACTCGCGTTAAAGACGTGACCCTTTTTCTCTTTAAGCCGTTTAAATTTGGGGTTTCTTCTGCTGTTCTTTACTTTATTTGACTATTATTATTGTTCTATTCCAAAATTGTAAATCCTTCCACTCAAATGCTCCTACTACTAGCCATTATTTTCATTACAGGGCTCCCCTACTATTTTGGCGGAGATGGGCCACCTTGCCTAAAATAATCTGCTGGCTAAATTGTTGACTGCAGCTAAAACTGTTTCTGGGCTTCTTCTAGGTGATCGTCTGAGGTGGCCATGTATAAACTATACAAATCGTGCATGGCTGGAAGGTGTCTTTACCGACCAGACTGTCTTTTCATAGGTCTGTCTCAACATCTGGGTAGCCGATTCGTTTCTTGATTACTTGTTGAATATGTAAAATGGTAATAAATTGCGACAGCTGTCCAGAACTAAAGGTTTTGATCTTACGTTTTGTGCTCCAAAATCCAAGGTTTGCCCTCTTAGAAAGAACAAAAAATCATGACATTTCAGAGGCAGGAAGCAGCAAGTTATTGGTGTTTTTGTTTAAATAGAAACCCTGAATGATTGATTAGCCAGCTTGTTACAGATTAGTTTTGTTGATTGACTTGATCAAGCACTCATTTCAACTCTATATTAAACCCCGCTAATCTTAATCAGTAACATTAATCTGCCTTCATATTCTCTGTTCTGTACTGTTGTATCTGTTCGACAAACATCTTCATCTTCTACCTGTATCCTGTCAATGACTATTGCAGCCTTTAGCAGGCGCCCAGGCTCGTGGTTTGCCATCCAACCAGTCTGTCTGTTCCGGTGTCTAATGCTGTCATTGCTTACCCAGATTTTCCACTGCAATCATAATTTGAGGTGTAAATATCCTTCTTCCTTGCACCAACAGAGTCATGTCTATAAAGCATAACATGCAGTCACATAATATGTAAGCTTAACAGTCCTTTTTTGGGTAGAGTATGTCCAGTGGAACATATCACACCCTATTTGAACAGTAAATCCTGTTATAAAGCTGCAACGCCTGCAACAACCGAACTGCTGTACCTTCTACTGTTACTGTTAAACCTAACTGCTTTTTGACTGTAACCAAAAATGTAATGTTTATTTTCACCTACAGGCACTCAGGTAAGCAGGTTATATATTTATGGCAGTGTGGACTGTGTATTTTAATTTCTAAACATCAAACTTCAGGAATATCCATTTTATGTAGTGATGAAATACACCTCTAATTTGATATATTGCTTTGTTAATCCCTTAATGTTACTCAGTAGTGATTGCAGTATTCTCACCTGTAGTCACATTAAGTTTTACAGTGAGGAACAGAAGTATTTGAACACCCTGCGATTTTGCAAGTTCTCCCACTTAGAAATCATGGAGGGGTTTGAAATTCACATTGTAGGTGCATTCCCACTCTGAGAGACAGAATTTAAAAAAAAATTCAGGAAATCACATTGTATGATTTTTAAAGAATTTATTTGTCTTGCACTGCTGAACATAAGTATTTGAACACCTGAGAAACAGCCAGAATTCTGGCTCTCAAAGACCTGTTACTGTGCCTTGAAAAAGTCCACCTCTACTCCACTCATTAATCTAAATTAGTAGCACCTGTCTGAGCTCTTTAAAGACACCTGTCCACCCCACAAGTAGGTAACATGTGAAGCGCACTCCCTACACCTACCAGCGGGTGTCTCTCTAACACAATATTCACAGGCTGCAGTGCTGTTCAATTATGTGTGGGTGGGAATATGGGAGATGGAGATATAAAAAAATGAAAGACTTTATTGCTTTGGGGGACACACATGCATATATGGCATACATATGTATATGCGAACTCATGCACAAGCAAAGACACTCAAAGGATGGGGGCAGCAAGAGAAGCAGCTGGGGATCCAATAAATTAGAGATGATTGAAGATTACAGTTTAATATAACAAATCTGTGGGACCTTCAGCTCAGTTCACTCAAATTAAAGGAGCACACACACAGTTTCCATAGTGATGATGAAGTGATTCAGGAGTATGCCATAAAAAATGACCATCTGTCAATACCCTTAAATTATTCTCATGATTGTTCTCATGATGAAACAACTACAGCCACCCAGCTACATTATGAAGGATCATCACAGGATTTTACTCCTCTCCACCAAATAAAAGCTTCAAGCACTACTCTAAATTCAAATCACTTTGAAAATACTAGCCCACATTTTTTATTTTTAAGGACATTATTTCCTTTTATGTCATGTTGCATTAATGCATAAATGATGAAGAACAACACTGACAAAGACTCTATTGATGGAAGAAGAGGAGAAAAGGGAGAGGAGATGTTCTCTGCTAAAGAGAGCTCAGTTAACCACAGATGGAGACAGTGGGTCGGCAAGCCAGTGCCAGCGCACACACACACACACACACACACACACACACACACACACACACACCACCAAACTTTT